AGAGAGAGAGAGAGAGAGAGAGAGAGATGGTGCCTGTGTGCATGTGTGTGTGTGTGTGTGTGGGTGGGTGTGGGTGCGCGTGTTGGTGTGGCTATGACATGGCCCTTGTGGCATGTAGTTGAGAATGGGGCTGCACTTGGCACTTGCCCCTGTCTAGATGGGCACTGTGTTTTCTGCATGTATGTATACCTGTTGCTCGTTTTATCAAAGGCATGTGAGAGATGCTTGAAATAATCTGACATAATTTAATGTCATTCATGTAGTTGAGATGTATGTTATGTAACTGTGGTGGCGTGAGGGGAATGCACTGGTCGTGCACAGGGTGCCAATTGGCAGCTTTCTTGACAGTTCATTCTTTTTTTTTTGCGTTGCTGGACAATCAATTGTGCAGGCTCTAAGGAGATTAGCTCAGAACAGAGAAGCAGCTCGGAAAAGCCGTTTGCGGAAAAAGGTTTGTTTGCCTCCTCTTGAAATTGAAACCCTTCCACTATTTGGCTGCGATTCGCATGAGAAATGTTTGTCAATGGCTGCTGGAATGCGAATCACAAGGTAGCTGTTACTGTCGGTGCTCTATATTTGGATTGCAACTTCAGTACATGTGACCATGTCTGCTTTTGTCTGGATAGGACAGAAAAATTCTCATCTGTGAAATCTTGTCGGGAGCTGAGTAAATTGACAGTCGGTCGATGCGGGCCAGATAAATATCATTGCTTCCCTCCCGACTGTTGAAGCATTGGATGAAATTTAGCCATTCAGAAGCAAGTTTGTAGCGTCTCCAATGCATGACCACTTGGAGCCGAGTCATTGTCCTCCTTGCACATCTGTTGCTCCCAGGTGTGAGGAAGGCAGTGACCTGGAGTGCTACCGGTAGCTGTAGATGGGAAAAAAGGAATAGAGAACCACAGCCGAATGGTGAGCAAGAGCCCACCTCCAGAAAAAAAAAGCGCGTAGTTCCGAGCGACGTGTATCCGAATTCATGTGGGAGGTTTGATGAACCATAGCCTTCGCTTCAATAAAAAATGCGAGGGTCAGGGAGGAATATTCATAGGCCACCGCGCGCTTTTATACAGTGTTGGACTTTCATACACACAGAGGATGGTAAGAATATCAGTGAAGGATGCTTGAACGTGTTTGTATCCGAATACAGCATTATACGATTGCGGTTCGACAAGTAGCAATCTGTGCAGCACACCGAACGTGTTTGGAGCTTTTGCGAACGCCCGAACACGTTTGGGCGTTAGGCCGTTCGGTCATGAACGTTCGGGTTCGGTCGCCGGACGCAAACATGATGCTGCGCAGGTAGCAATGAGCGACCACCAACTTGAACTACACAATGTGCAAGTAGCTGAGTCATTTCATTCTCCATCCCAAATCTCTGCCTCCATTGTAGATGGACCTGGCCATTACATGGCCAGTGTACTGGCCTCTGACCACTCAGAGCTGTGGGACAATGTCGACATGGTCCATGCCATGACTGGTGTTGCTGATTTCTTACACAAAGAGGCTGTCCTTTCGCCACAGAAAACCGTCTGCACGCTCCATTCTGCAACCTTCTCCTTTGCACAGCCACAAACACTGTTACGTGCAGCTGCCGCCGTCATCGTCTCGGTCACAATCACTACAATAACATGGTTTCTGCATCTGTGTGTGCAGGGCATAGCTTGAGTAATAGTCTTTCCGAAGAATCTCAGGAACATAGATCGAGTAGTAATCTTTCCAAAGAACAATTTTCAAAAATTGAAACTAAGATTTCTTCGGGGCAAAAAAATGATGGCGGTGAAAGAATTCATCTCTTTTTCCCTCCTTACCGGTAGGCCAGCATGGTTTTGGCTTAGTGGGCCAGGCTTCGAATGAAAGTACGGCATCATCGAAATGATGTCGGGGACTATGGTGGTTTCAAATACGTTGCAGACTCCAGTGCTTTTCCTAGCTACACCCGTCCGACACGGTGATGAACGCGTTCATGTCTTTCGGGCTTAGCAAAAATAGATTCAATTTCTCAGGCTTAGTGGTTCCACAAAATCGGGCCGTGCACCAGAGATTGGCGTCGAAAAAAAGAGGCTCGGAAATACTGGTGGTTAAGGTAAAGAACCGGTTTTAGGGCCTGGGAGTAGTGTTTATTCGGCAGCGTCTATCTGAAGGTTGGCCTTTGTAGGTTGAGATTGTCCTGAGACCCGTCATTGCGCTTTCGGAGCAACGGAGCAGCAAGATTGGACTGGTCCTTCTAACGAAACAAGCATCAGTAAGCTGGGGGTGGCATTTACCCCCATTTAGGCCCACAAACCCCATTTCATCAAATCACTTGCGTCTGTCAGGCCTTCCCCAATTGGTACCTCGAAGAGAATTTCTCACCTGCTCGATCTTTTGAGATCGGGCGACTAAGGTCTTCCCTGCCCCTTCGAAACTTAGGTTGGGCCGACCTCCCTGTTGAGATGGTCCACTGTTTTGAATGTAGAAGTGTTTTCGGCACTAGTTTCAGAAACCGGGAGAGACGGTTAACGGGGGCCCAAATATTCGCCGTTTTTGTTGGCAATTGCGGCATGAATTTCATCAAAAGTTTTAAGAACAAATGATATGAGACCATAGTGCAAACATCAAAAAAGGAAACAGGCCAAAAAAAACGAAAAAAAAAACAAAAAACACTATGAAACCCTACCACAAAGACAGTGGGCTGCACTTCATAGCATGGGAACTGAGCCGCACACGGCGGAACCAAGGTGCTTCATGTTCAGCAACAGATGGGGGCCCTTAGGGCTGTGCTCCCCCTGCGCCCGCAGCTAGCCCATATATGTTGGATACAACATATATGAAGAATCTGTCACAGCCCTGCGTTTGTTGGTCTCTTCTTACCCTCAGCCTCGAGGCAGAGGCAGGGATGATCGACGTGAAATTGAAAGAAAGTCTGATGCCGTATAACGGTATAAGACGGGTGGCAGAGATTGTGTGGACAAGCAATAGTAGCAGCCAGATCACAGAGGCTGGGAAGGATCTCAATGCAACTAGAGGAACAGGGATCATGGAGATGTCCCTCATTGTTGAGAGCAGGCTGGATTGCCGGACACCAAAAGCGGAGGTTGCTTGAGTGCAAGTGACCCATTATGGCACACGGGATGTCGGCAGCTCGTTTTCAACTACATCAACATGGCAAGCCTTGTACATGAGAGAGAGAGAGGCACGGTAAAAGGGGAGCCAGAAGAAATACAAAAGAAACCACGAAAACAGCAAGCCATAAGAAGAAATAAGGAGAAACAACGAAAAAAGTGAAAGTAAGGAAAGAGAAGAAAGGAGTGCGGAGGAAAAGGCAGAAGAATGATTCCAGTGCGCTTCGTGTTGCCTGCTTTTTTTTTTTTGTTCGTTTTGCAAAAAGAGCACTCTTTTAGTTGAGAGAGAGAGAGAGAGAGAGAGAGAGAGAGAGAGAGAGAGAGAGAGAGAGAGAGAGAGAGAGAGAGAGAGATTATGTGCTGTTTCTATTATTTTTTTGGTTATGAGCTGGGATCACATTTGTTACATCAACTCACATGATGTTTTGTGCTTTTCTCGCTGTGTATGTGATGATTGTCATTGATTTTCAGGCTTATGTCCAACAACTGGAATCAAGTCGCATACGGCTTCAACAGCTTGAAGCAGAATTGCAAAGGGCTAGACAACAGGTGCGAAATGTGTGGACTCTGGAGATTGTTCTGGTTGGATGAAAATGTTTTTTTGTTGGATTATTGGTTTGTTGAGTGTATGGTTTTATAATGTGTCCAATTTGGGGGACTAAAAGGACGATATCAGCAAGCAGGGTCGATTGTGAGTCTCTAAGTAGAAGTGAATATGTTTCTGCTGCAAGGCCACAGGTGGCGTTCCCTCCCTGTCGTACCGAAACAGGCCTTCCACTGTGTTTGCGGTGCAGATGGTTCATCCTTCTCAGTTCTAACAGGAAAGACCATGACTGTGAAGTGGAACACATCTATGGTGACCTTGTGTCAGCATAATGTATGCTACGATCCTGTCAGCATTATCGAACACTTTGGGATGACCACACACCATCCCACTGGATGGTTGATCTAAGTCGTGGGTTACCGAGTCTGTGGTTAGACTGTTTGCTATGTACCTGGTCTCTTTCCATTCCTCCTCCTCCTCCCCCTTTCCTCTTTCTTTTTCATGTCGATGAATGATAATGAACCTTGGCCTGGATATTGCTCCTACGCCGCATGCTGTCTGGTAGGTGGATGGATCGCTTGGCTGTCAGGCTCTTTGCTGGAATATTCCGGAGCCTAGCATTTTAATGAAAGTATGCGGAAACGTTCAGAGTCGTAGGAGTGAAAATGAATGGGGAAGTACAGATGCATGGAGGAGCGAAAGAAAATGTCCACAAACGTATAACAAATGGCATAGCAGCAAATGTTCTTCTAGACGCATACCAACATGGTTTTATTCCGTCTACTTGCTCGAGCTATGTCTTCGTTTGCGGAGTAGTCTGTCTGCCACCGTCTTAAGTTTGTTTGATTTGCTGTTGGCTTGTTTCACTTTGCTCCTGGTGCAGGGAGTTTTTCCGGGCGTGGTGCCTCCCACCACACATGTCCCAAGTGTTCCAAGCTCCCTGACAAATGGTCTGGCCAGCAACACCTTAAATCCAGGTAAGCAGAGTAGGACCCAAGGTTGTGCCTCCCTTTTCCCTTTGCACTCTATGTTAATTTGCAGGGCGCTGGCTGTCTACAGGAGCGGTATGCACTCTATATGTTAATTGGCACGGCGCTGGCTCTCTACAGGAGCGGCATGCAGCATCTAACCGTTGTGTGCCTCCCTCTGTTTCTGAAGTCCTAGCCTGGACAAGAACTGATGCCTTTTTGGTTGTAGTGGGGCGCCACTCCATCTCATACCTGGCCATGGAGAGTAGTATCCCGCCGTGCTCCTGGTCGACCGCCAACGTGCACCTGGACGGTTTCCAGGCCATTGAGACTATTGGCCGGCTGAGCTCCTGGTCAAGCACGAACGTACCGAAGAGGAGGAGGATTACCTACCACGGAAACCTCCTATCGGCCCCGGCCAATCACCAAGAGGCCACGTGTTATTGGGCGTGAGAGGTACCAAGGTGGGATGACAGAGGTTCAAGCTCCGCTCGAACTTTAAGTCTCCATGTCGCTGGCCGCTGGTGGTTCATACTGTTAGTTCTTTTCCATATACTGTGGTGCAGTCCAGGCCATCACAAGCAGTCTTTTTTTATTTTTGGTCTTTGACTTCTTAGAGGTGTTTTGAGGGAAGTTCAGCTTCAGGCCTTATATGATGATGATTCTGTCTGCCTCCTTGGGAAGTAGTAGCAGCTTTGATAAGTGTAGTTTAGAGGTTGGGCAGGCATTCAGTTGAGGTTTGCCACAGGTCCGGTAGAGTTTTTTTTTTTTTTTTTTTTTTTTTTTTTTTTTTTTTTTTTTTTTTTTTTTTTTTTTTTTTTTTTTTTTTNTTTTTTTTGTTTGTTTGTTTGTTTGTTTGTTTGTTTGTTTAACCATAACACCCCCGCCAGTGTTAGTGGTGCTGATAAGAGCAGACACCACTAGTGTAGGGTGTAGAGTTTCTGTGGAGGCCTAGTAGAGAGGTTTGGTGTTTTCCTCCTTTGATCGGTGTTGCTTGGAGGTTAACTAGAGGTGGCGTGTTTTCGAACTGCAGCAGCTGTTTGAGCGTTGGGCGAGAGGTCTGTTGCAGGTTCGGAAACCAGACTGCCTCTTCTACAGATTACGAAGGATCGTCTATTTTTTTAGAGCAGTTAAGTGGTTCTTTGGCGGAACGGAAAGGAAGCGTGATTGCGTAGTAGTACACCTTGATGCACTCTTATGACTTGCCGGCGGAAAAGGAAACAGACTGATGCTCCCCAGAATGGATATGGAGGGAGGACCATAATGCCCTTTTTTTTTTTTTTTTTTTTTTTCCTAAGCGAAGTTTAAAACCATGCTCTAACATATCTGTTGCATGTGATGTCTTGCATACCTCTCTCTTTGTTTGTGTTCAATTGGGTGCTTCAGCTTATGTGGGTCTGTCGTGGCGGTCTGCAGGCGCTGCGGCGTTTGACGTAGAGTATGCACGGTGGCAAGAAGAGATGCACCGACATCTATGTGATCTGAGAGCGGCGTTGCAGTCACGATTAGCGGATAACGACCTCAGGATGCTGGTCGATGCGTGCATTGGACACTATGACGAGCTATTCCGGCTTAAGAGCCAAGCTGCAAAAGCGGACGTTTTTCATCTTGTCAGCGGGATGTGGAAGACGCCAGCAGAACGATGTTTTATGTGGATGGGGGGATTCAGACCATCGGAACTGCTCAAGGTAGGGTGACCGATTGATACTTTTAGCTTTCCAACCTCAGGAAGTATGGCAAGAGTGTGATTGATTGGTTTGCGGATGCCGTCGCTTTCTTCTTTCGTTCGGCATCTCAATGAGTCTTTAACAAACATATAAAAGGTGGCATTCGTTTTTCAGCGGGGGGAGGTGCTGGGGAACCAAGCAAGCAAAGCAACAATGTGACTTCATAGATGCAGGGGCCAGAGAATCAATTGTTTGCCCGTTTCATGAAGGGGCCAGTGGGGGTTTGACATGAAACAGGCAAACCCCCTATCATGTCAACCACCACAGGCCTGAAAACAAGGGCCTACAGGCCCTGTGTCAGCCTGAAAGCCTGAAAACAAGGGCCTACAGGCCCTGTGTCATTTCAGCCTAAAACAGGGCCTAAAACAGGGCCTTTCGGGCTCCGGTGCTCAACCACCACTGCCAAACCCCCTATCATGTCAACGGAAGCTGTGCTGGGCGAGGGGGACTGGCATGCTGCTGGGGAGAGAGTGAAATGTAGAGTTTCCCATTTCTATGATTTTTCGTGATCAGCTTTTTGAATGAAAATCCGGAAGAGGATCATGATTTGAGTGGTCATGTGTTAGGGAAAAGTAGTAGGGAAATCAAAAAGAAAATTCTGGCTGGGGGATGAAAAAATGGCGTCGAAAGAACCTATCGTGGCCGTTATTCTGACGTGGGGAGCACACCTCCTGCTCTTCTTTTCTCCTTTTCTGTATTCTAGTTTGTGCCAATTTGTGAGGATATGGTTGTATGTATGGGACGCTGGACCCGGTTTCCAGCAGGTGTTGCTCCCCACCAATAGATGGAGCTTGTGTTTTCGTCAAAAAAAAAAAGGGTTAGCATTTTTTGTCCAATGAACGCATCCAGTCTCCTTTTTTTGTTCTCATCTCGTCGTCGTCGTTTTTTCTCCTCATCTCGTCATCTTCTTTTCTCATCCTCTTGTCGTCGTCTTTTCTCTGTTTCAATGCCTCGCAAACTCAACAAGCCATTGTCCTTAAAATTAAAAAAAAAAAAACCTTTAAAAAAGCTTTAAAAAAAGCTCAACGAACAATGTCCTTGGTTGGGCTTTTGAACAAGCTTGCCCTCGAAGCGCAAGACATTCTTTTCTCCCCACGCTTCAGGCTTTGGGTGGTCATCCTGTTATTTCATTTGGCTGTGTTCCTCTGCTGCCAACCTTATCGTTTTCGAGAAATTTCGACTCTTTCTTTTGCCCTATTTAGCCCCTTGTGCTATCTCACTGTCTCTTGTCGTTGTCTAATACATGTCTTTAACTCCTTGCTCTTTTTGAAATGTCCTTCTTGTTCAGATTCTTCTGCCACAGATCGAGCCTCTTTCGGAGCAGCAGCTGCTAAATATCTACAACCTCCAACATTCTAGCCAGCAGGTAATGACGACCTATTAGTCCGAACGACTTTCCGTTCTTTTTTTTTTTTTGGGGGGGAGACTTTCCGTTCTCACTGCTGGCTGAACGAGTCGGTCTTCTGAAATATGTCCCGTTCAGTTTATGACGGGACTTCAAATTGTTAAATTGAAAAAAAAAAAAAAAAAAAAAAAAAGACCTGCTTGGTTTCGTTTGTATGTGGTATGCGGCTGCTCTCCTGCGCAACTTCAAGATTCCGCATGGATATATGCTTGTACCATGGATCAACGGATATTCCGCCCAGTTGGTATACCCCTGAAACGTTGGAATATAGACTTGAGTTTTTTTTTTTTTTAGCAGCCCTTCGACGGAGCGAAGGGCCGTTAAAAATTGTGGTAAGCTGCTGGAACAGCCTACGGTATTCTTTAGTTTGAAACTGCTGGAAGCAGATGAGCAAAGTACTACGGTTCTGAATTACCTTGGGCCGGTGAAAAAAAAAAACAGCTTGCACCATGTACAGTTGTTTCCCACGATATCGTCGGTGGCGAAACTCCGAGGTCCTTAGACTCCTTATTGAAAAGCCGGAAATCTTACCCTGCTTCGCCCGGTCCATCTACGCTGAAGAGAAGTCTGTTCCTCCTGGACGCAAGAAACTGCCAGCGCACTTCTCCCACCCCTAACGTTTTCCTCCTGGTTGATGTCTCTACTGGGGCAAAAGGATGGATTCTTTTTTTTTTTTTTTTTTTTGGAGAAACGGGCCCAGTGCCCAAGGCTGATATTATCCATGGCAAAAGGATGGATCATGGAAGTGAAACACTGAGAGCATACTCACACTACTGTCTTCATCCGAATAGAGCGCCCGGTCATTACAGCGGTATTTGGTGCAGCTTTCTGTCCAGATGCAGCGATAATGACGGGGCGTTCTATTCGGATGAAGATGGTAGGGCTTCTTTGACGGAGCATCTGGACCTAATTGCGGTCAGATGCATCTAGGTCAGGCTGATGTTACTGTCAGATACATCCCAGAAAAGTCTTGGTGTGACTATGCCCTGAATTCCTCGCTGGGGAACCGCGAAGTTTCCCAATCCTCTCCCTAGGACCCCTCTCCGATTGCTATCGTTGATATTAACTTATTAAGTAAGTACACTTCCTTCTTGTTATAGAGCCTTACTTATGATCTGTGGCTTTGGCTATAGCCGAAGAGCAGAAGTGGTTAAAACAGGGGGGACCACCACCGTTACCTTAACTGTGACGATGTACCAACAACCTATAATAACGTAATGGTGATGGAATCAATTCAATGTATTGATAGGAATCAATAGTGCAGCGTGCGTGCATTGATATCCCAATTCCTCAGTATGTTCTCTGGGCCAGGGGCCCCTCAGTAAGTATGTTCTCTGGGCCAGGGGTCCCTCAGTAAGTATGTTCTCTGGGCCAGGGGCGAGGGAGCATCTGTGTCGGTGATTGATCGTTTGGTCGGTGCTTGCCAATGACGAGTCAATCATTTCGTTGACGTCCTTGCATTTTCTGCAAGTCAATTTGGTGACTGGGTTCCTGTCGGTCTGATGGCATTTCGACGGTGATGCTTTTTTTTTTTTTTTTTTTTTTTTTTTTTTTTTTTTTTTTTTTTTTTTTTAACGGATACATCTTGAGCAATCCTAACATGTTTGTTGTTGTTTTGGCAAGTGGCAGATCAGTTGTTGGTTTGGCAATAGGACACTTATTACTGTGGGAATGAATGAAGTTAACGGCTTCTCGGTGTACCAGACAGAGGACGATTGCATTCGATTGCAGATTTGCCGAGATGAACTTGTCTGGTTGTCGCATGCAACAATTGAATTTCTTCAATAGGCTTTTTTTGAGAGTCATTTTTTTTTTCGCTGTGGGGAACAACTGAATTTTGTCGAGATGACGATTGTTGGTTTTTAGAACAACAATCGATTGTTGGTTTTTAGAACACTTTTTTTTTCGCTGTGGGGAACAACTGAATTTTGTCGAGATGAACTTCTCTGTGAATTTGTCAGTTGTTCTAAAAAGTGTGTTGAACGTTTTTCTTACGTCTGACGTGGGACTTTCAGGCGGAGGATACGTTGTCGACAGCAATGGGTTCGTTACAGCAATCTCTTGCTGAGACGTTAACTGCTGGCCCATTATCAGCATCCTCGTCAAATGTCGCTAATTACATGGGACAAATGGCCATGGCAATGGGGAAACTGGGTACTTTGGAGACTTTTGTCTGTCAGGTACATTACGTCTCTCTCTCTCTCTCTCTCTCTCTCTCTCTCTGGTTCGAGCTTTGTTTCCCTGCTTCTCACTCTGCTGCCTGTGGGTACTCACTCGGTTGGTATACACTCTCTCTCTCTCTCTCTCTCTCTCTCTCTCTCTCTCTCTCTCTCTCTCTCTCTCTCTCTCT